TAGTCAGCAATAACATTTGACAATCCACCGAGAGGGTATTCACTCAACTTCTAAAAAATGAAATGAGAACATTTCACTGGACCAATAAACTAATGAGAATTCGTAGAAAAACTCAATTGTTTCATTTGTTTTTCTAGAAATGATTCTGGTTCAGATAAGAGACAACAATGCACAAGGTGGATTGGGACAGAACAGGTAAAATTTAGGAAGTGGACAGACGGTGACGCATATTATAAGATTTGCATAGAAAACTAGAATTCACTGAAAATCATCTCTCCCACTGCCAACCTTGGTAAATAAAGACTAATATAGGGATCTTGGAGATGTTCAGTGTTCCTACTTTTTTATTAAAATGTAAGTGTCTCGGGGCGCCTGGGTGGCTCAGTGGTTAAAGCCTCTGCCTTCGGCTCAGGTCATGATCTCAGGGTCCTGGGATCGAGCCTCACATCGGGCTCTCTGCTCAGCAGGGAGCCTGCCTCCTCCTCCTGTCTTTCTCTGCCTGCCTCTCTGCCTACTTGTGATCTGTCTGTCAAATAAATAAAAATCTTTAAAAAAAAATGTAAGTGTCTCTTGGGATGGCATGCCCCATATCAACTAAAATCATTACAGTATTTGTTAACTAGGAATTCAGGCTAATGAGCCAAGGAAAATGTTCCAGGGAATGTGGGTAGTTGAGTGGGCAACAAGGAGAGGAAGAGAAGGTGCTATGGAGAAAATGTAGGGCATTCAGAAACAAACCACCTATTTCATCATTTCTTGGAGAAATCTGCAATATCCCAGACTAGAAATTTCTGACATTTAATGTATGGAATGCTATATTGGACTCAATCTAAAAAGAATGGTTTATAAAATACAGTGCTTGTACTTTTTTTTTTTTTTTTTTACCTTGCTTCTCAGAATAAAAACATTCTGAAGGTCATCCTTTCCTCCTTGTATGATTATTTTTTATTTGACAAGAATCAGTTAATTTGGAGGAGAGCAAAGCTGTATGTCAATGAATTGGTTGCAATCTCATCAGGCAATCAGACGTGAGATCAACACAGCTGTTGGAACAGTAACAGCCAGAAAGATTCTAGTCACAGGCCAGTCGGGAGCAAAGGAGCAAAGAGCATTCCCGTCACGTGGGCTGACACCAGCAAAGATTTATTAATATATTCCTCCAAGAGATATTTGAAATCAGTGTCATGCTTTCAAAGATTATAAAACAGCTTAATAGTAATATGGGTAGGATTTTGGCTGTTCTTAAACCTCTTCCTTCCAAAGCAAGTACTTCCTTCAAAAGCATTTAAAAAAATTGGGCATATAAAATCTAGTGTTGTTACTCTCTAAAGCAACATATACCATACTGCATATTAAGATTTTGTGTATAATATATTTATTTGCATACAGAAATATGTATTTCTATGATACAGTTCATTACTTTATTTATAGAATATGTATAGGAAGCATACAGCATATTCCAGAAAGATACATTAAATATGCACACAGTTCATGCTGCAGCGTGCACTCTTTTCAAAGAAGCATATTTAAGAAGCATGGTATTATATGTACATGCTGAAAATACACTTTGCACAATTCATCCAGCTTTGGGTGCTTCCCTAATCTATTTGCAACACCAGTGCTGTGGTTGTTGAAAGGGATATCATCAAACTGGGGAAAGGCAACTACCAGTGAACTACGTAGGAGAAAATAAAAGTAGATTGTATTTCTAGGTGTATGTCACCATCATTTTCAATTTGTCTTCCCCAGTGTCAGATCTCCAGGATCAAAAAAGCAGTAAATGGATAAAGAGCAGAAGTGTGTGGGACCTCCAGCTTCCACATTCAAATGGGAAAGCTTATCCCATGTGACTTATTATATTGGTGACTTTGTTCTAACGGTTTGGAGCTGATGTTAAAATTAATTCAAACTGGTAAAAGGGGAATCATTTCTTTTTTTTTTTTTTTTTAAGAAATTAACTGGCTTTTTGACATTCTTAATCTCCTCTTCTTGTAAGACCACTCTGGAATATTTACATTATTGCTATGAGGAGAGAAGAAATTCTTGACAGATATTCACCATCCCAGTGAAAATAAAGGAGGTGAATCATATAGTTTCTGAAAGAGGCTCTCAATGTTTTTGAAAGGAAAAGTGGCAGCTCCAATAGAAACCGACCACATCAACTGCAATCCTTTTAATGGCCAATTACCAGCAACCTCAATTGACTGGACTCTGTGACAATTGTAATGGGACATGAAGATGCTGGAGACAATGTGCTATTGCACGGTCTGGTAATTCTGGATATGTCGATGTCCCCTGTGTTCCCAATCTGTGAATTACAAATACACCAGACTCATGGATGACAGTATGTCTGATACACAATTGGTGAGCATTACCTTTTGAAACAGGTGAGCAATTTGCAGTGATATTCTTATAGTGATACAGGATTATTTTGCCATGTATACGAAGCAAGCTCTAGAATTCCTTAAAATAGACCAGGGTTTCTCGACTTTGGTATGATCGACACTTGGAGCTGTTAATTCTTAGTTGTATGTGTGAGGGGGAGGCTATCCTTGTGAGCTGTTTAGCAGCCTCCCCGGCCTCTATCTACCAGGATGTCCTTAGCTCCCCCCAAGTTGTGACCACCAACAATGTCTCCACACATTGTTAAATGTCCCTGGGGGTGCAACATTGTTCCTGCGTGAGAGCCACTGAAATAGACAAATCCAGCAACAGTTAATGCAAACCTTTGAATACAACCTCTGTGTCTTTCTAATCATCTGCCATGTTCAGTATTTTTTCCATTTCTCTGATTCCAGTTGGCAAAGTTTCCATGATGTGTCAGTCTATAGTCACATCTTTGCTGTGATGCGTGATGGTTTCTCTTTCAGCAAGGTTGTGGTGGCTATGGCGAAGACCAAGAACAGAAAGAAGGAAGGGAAGGGTACAATGGCAATGAAGAGCAAGAGGCAGTTTGATTCACTGTGAGTTGAATTGTTAGAGTGGACCAGAAAAGACACAAATCCAGACTCCTGAATCCTTGAATCCAAAGAGTTTGTCCCAACTAAAGCTGAATCTACAGCATAAAAGGACAAGTTAGTAAGTGAAAAATTCAGCCAGTCAGTTGTTTCATGTACAGCAAACCAAAGAACCCAGTGGCTTGATGTCCCTTCCATTCAACTGATTCACTGATTTGAAGAAATAAAATAAAAGTTAATGTGGATTTAAAATTGTAAACATCTCAGTAACTGTGGAGTAAAGGAATCTGTATGAACTGATGGTGTATGTTTATACCCAGGAGATTTGTAGGGGAATGACTGAAGTTATTCGAACAGAAGTTATTTTTATAAAGGGTAAGTTACACGCAACTATTGTTGGCAATTTGCTTCTTAATAATGCTTCTTTTTTGTTGTTGTTTACCTTGTGCTTTTTTTTTTAACTCTCAAAATTGTTGAGATGCCTTCGATGAGGCAAGTCACACAAAACCGCTCTAAAGTGCTAAGGTTTAATACTGAAAAATTAATCATGCTACTCATATGTATATTACTGGCCAAGATATCGTAAGGCCCATAGATCTAAAATGTGAAATAGGAAATTTGAAGTTGGTTTTACAGATCTGATTTCTATTGAGTGGGCCATCTTTAGAAAATCTGATTTTAAGACAATAGCACATAAAGAAAAAAAGTTGAGGGATTAAAAAATAGCTAAATGTGAATCAACACAATCATATATTTATTAGGCATACCAAATAAAAAGTCTTTATGTGGACAAGAGTCTATATAAAGCTACTATTTGGGTAATAGTTCCTGATCTGACTTTTGATGGTCTAGAACTAAAGAAATAATGAGAAGTGACACAGGCACAGCTACCGATTTTGCTGATTTTCAGCAAATTCAGCTGATTCTTCAGATTTTGCTGATCTCACGTGGCCTCCATTTGTTATCCGCTACATGTCTGCCACAAAGATTACTATACTTCTATGGACAGAATTTTGAAGTTACAAAATTTTAGGGAGAATTGACAATTTGAGGAAGATGGAACAGGTGGTCTCGGGAAATGTTTTTTAATGACTTTTTCTTTTCCAATGGGACACGGGATGGCTATAAACAATCTCATTTGACTATGAATTGAATATCACTTGATAACCGGCATTGAAGAGAAGGCCTTATTCTCTTGGGACTGACCCAGAAGTCACTGGTGCCACAAGAGTACGTTAATCCTACTCAGGATTCTAAACGAGTAAAGTAGCTTCGTCCTGCTGACAAAGGCCAGAAGTTCATGTTTTTCAAGTTAGCATTACATACATGGGTCAGGCAAATTCCGGTTGAAAGGGAATGCCCTCTCAGCCTTTGATTTGCCTTTTTCAAAATTCATCTGGCCTCGGTAAACTTCCTCCAACTAAAAAGGACTACTATTTAATTTGACAAAACCTCAGTTTAAAAAATGACTTTGGTTTCTCAAGCATGTTTATGTATTAGGTAGGCTATTCCATTCACAAAAGGAGCTTGTTTAGGAGAAAACCCGATTGGTGAAAACATTTCACCTAAAGGATCATAAGCAAACTAAGTGATTACAGGCTTTTATACGCCCAAAGAATGCAAATGACACAGTGGGCAAGGGTGAAAGGCCCATTTTCATGGCTGTGTCTGGTTGTATTTAGTGGAAGTCCTGCAGATTTTTGCCCTTACACAATGTAAAACAGGGAAGTACAAAAGCCGATGCTATAATGAGAAAAATAATGATATGATCTAGTTACGGTTTTTGTTTGTTTGCTTTCTTTTGATGGTGGGAAAAGGGAAAGGTGAGGGGAAAAGAGCATTTAGTATGTTGTAACTCTCCAAATAAAACTGTAACAAAAGAATAATACAGCTTAGCACTCTGGAGATCTTTCTACATCCTGTTTTGACTTTCTTCACTTTTCCATTGTGTGATGCCTATTTCCTTATGTGTAAGTCTCCATGTTAGCTTGTAACTGTGGCATTTCATCCTTGTATGGACACACAGGAACAAAAAAAAAAAAATGGAAAAAAAAAGCGAGGTTATTCTTCTTGTGCAGAGATAAAATCGTAGATTCAGAAGCCCTTCTTCAAGAGAGTACAAGAAAGCGTAGATTGTCCCTTAAATCCACAATTCCAACATGTCTCTTTCATGGTCTCACTGCTCCTAAACTGACAGCGTTTATAAGGTGCGGGTTTCTCAAACTGGAGCATAGGCACAATAAAAGTGTCACTGTTAGGCTCCTTAATTGCACATTCCATAATAAGACTATAAAGTGCAATGGCAGAGAATTTAAAACTGGGAGCTCTTTTATCCCCTTGCTTTCTCCCAAGCTCCCCTGACCACCTTCCTTCTCCACAAAGATGTTTTACCTTGTAGCGCCTATGTTCTTATAATGACACATGAGAAGATGTTTAAAGGTCTTCTTGAAGGTGGCGTTACAAAGTGCATAGCAGGCAGGGTTGATAGTGCTGTTGATGTAACAGAGCCAATAGCCAATTGTCCACACTGTGTTGGGGATGCAGGGTGCACAGAAGGTGTTAATGAGCACCATGACATTGTATGGGGCCCAAGTGATGATGAAAGCCAACAGAATAGCCAAGATCGTCCTGGTCACTTTCTTCTCCCGGGAGGGAGGAGGCTTCTTTTTGGCGGGCTGCTTAGTCATCTTCACAATCTTGCGAGCTACAATGTTCTGCTTTTCATCTCCGTTCTGACCTGCAGAACCAACGAGCTCCACAGTGGTATTAGTTGGGATACACAAATCACCTTTTTGGGTCTTGGTGACAATTTTGATGCATGTTTGCTTAGAGTTCTCATCTTTGGAATGACCCAGAGAAGTGGATACTGTGTTCTCATCCTGGGTGACTTCATCATCTCTCATGTTAGAGGCAACGGCACTGACGGAGGTGGAATCATTGGAGCTCTCTTTCTCCTCTCCCTGGACACAGTTTTCGGTCACTGCATCTCTGGGGGCTTTGCCATTCTGGATTTTGTTGTGCTCCAGGCCATCATCACTGCTGGGTACATTGTTGTTGTTTGGCTTCACTATCCTGCCTTGTACCAGACTGGGAGAAACTGGGTCTTGGTTGGCCACAGGCTCCTTCTTGTCCTTCTTTATCCTGCTCTTGCTGGCTCGGGATATGTGCCAGTATAACACAGTCATGATGATCACAGGCAAATAGAAGGCCGCAATGGCAGTACCAAAGGTGACAGCAGCGTTGGAGAAAAACTGAATGTAGCATTCCCCATCCTCCACAGTCCTCACCCCTACAATGAACTGCCAGAAGAGAATGGCTGGGGCCCAGAGGATGAAGGAGAGGACCCAGGCAGCAGCAATCATCATACCTGCCATTTTCGTGGTCCGCTTGACTGGGTAGGTGAGTGGTTTTGTGACGCAGAAGTACCTGTCAAAGCTGATAATGAGCAGATTCATCACGGACGCGTTGCTGACCACATAGTCCAGGGCTAGCCAAAGGTCACATACCACAGGTCCCAAAGGCCAGTAGCCAATCACAGTGTAGAGGGTATACAAGTTCATGGAGAAAACACCAATGATGAGGTCAGCACAGGCCAGGCTGAACAAAAAGTAATTGTTGACGGTCTGGAGGTGGCGGTTGACTTTAATGGAGACCATGACCAGAATGTTCCCAATGATGGTTACCAAACTGAGGGATCCAGCCACAAGGACAATAAACACCACTTCAAATGTCTTATAAGGACTGGTCAGAGCCAGGCCACTGTTAGAGGAGTTTGTTGAGTTATTCATTTTGTGTTCTCTAATCAGTAGCCAAGTAGCCAAATACACATTTAAACCTGCAGGGAAACAGAATAAAATGAACAAATATAATATAAACATTGCATTATAAGATATCAGCTTTCTTCCTTTTGAACCTCAATTTTTTCTCCAAAATCTTCATTCCTTCTCCTCTATGTTTATTGTGCCTATCTGCCTCAATTCCCACATAAAAGGCAAAGACTGGAGGACTCAAAAGATTCTTTCAGGTTGGCAATGTATTTGAAGTTTGATAACATTTTGTATGTGTCCAAATCTAGATATGAATATTTGTCTATCATTTGTCTAAGTATACTATTTTAAAAATTTTTTTAAAGATTTTATTTATTTAGAGAGCATGAGTGGGGAGAGGGGCAGAGGAAAAGAAGAGAGACAATCTCAAGCAGACCCAGTGTTGAGCGCAGAGTCTGCCGTGGAGCTCAATCTCATGACCCTGAGCTCATGACCTGAGCTAAAACCAAGAGTCGGGTGCTTAACTAACTGAGTCATCCAGGTGCCCCTGAGTATACTACTGATGAATTAAACTCAGTGAACTAAAATTACACCTAAGACTTTCTGAAGCATCAAGAGGTTTCTGGTATGTACATAAAAATTAATAAGGAGGAAGAAAGCATAAAACTTAAAATATTGAGTATGTGACTTTTATAGTCAATAGCACCTTTCCACCTGGAAGCTTTAAGTATCAGTATCATAATGATACTGACACTGATACTAATAAAGGTAAGATAATAATTCATTAGCCAATACCCTTCTCCCAAAGACTATTGCTTTTCTCTGAGCTCTATTTTACACTTGTAGTTAGCATCACATACTCAACATTTCCAATATTCTATGCCCTGCAAAAGAAGTTATTTATTAAAAGCATATTGACAATGATTATGTGAATTTTCTGAATGTTTTATTTTTTCAAGTCACTACCAAATTTATCATTCTACTGTTCTTCCTGCCAAATCTTTGGTACAGTCAGGCTAGGATTTATATTTGTTTGTCAGAAGAAGGAACTGAAGCCCAGAAAGAGTCAGTAATTTATATAAGGTCACATATCGAGTCAATCACAGAGATTAAGACTATGAACAGAATTTACTCATTCACTTTGTCCTCACATACCTACTGAGCAACTTCTCTGTATTAGGCATTTGCTATAGGCTGGATATTCAGTGATGATTAAGACAAGATCCCAGCATGGGAGATGTGTGTGCTCTGGTAGCAGTCACGGGTTGCCAAAGAAGCAATTATGAAACGTGAGTGTCCTTTCTGCTGCCAAACCCTGCTGAGTTTTAATAAACGCATAATTACCATTTTTCAGCCAATATCGCCCAAGTCTAGTGACAGACTGCATCTTGGAAGTTCTATTTCAGTTATAGTTACACAACTGTGCACAGAGGTCTGCTCAGGGATGTTCATTCAGAAATGTTATAGCAAAAAAAAAAAAAACAAACAAACCCTGGAAATATTAAAATGACCCACTGACAGAGGACTGGTTAAATATATTACGGAATACTCTTACAACGGAATAGTATGCAGCTGTTCAAACAAAGAGGCAGATATGTGTGGTCTGGCATTGTTGTGGGAAGTAACAGTCAGAAGACAATTTAATAGAAGCAGGACTCATAATATTAAGAATAGAGTTCCATTTAAGCAGAAAGGTGATGACATATATGATATGCATCTGTAGATCTTGAGGAAACGTTGAAGTGTTTACTCAAGGAAATGATGTTCATGAAGAGTAACTAAACATTTTGCCTTCCAAATTGATACATGAGGTGTCAGTTACCACACCAAGAAAAAGGGTCTTACAAAGTGTTATTTACTTTTGACATCAGATGCTTCAGAATACTGCCCAATGCATCCATTGTGAATATATAATTATAATTTATATGAACATATAATTTAATTTATAATTAAACAAAATGCAGATTTCCAGTCTCACCCCAGACCTCCGGATTCAGAGCTGTAAGCCATGTCAAGAAACACTTCTACAACCCCTCCTGTGCTAAGTCTTATAAAATGTGGTTCCTTATGTCTCGTCCCACCCTTGTATACCACAACCTATTTCTCTGGGGTTGGTACTCACCCATCACATAAACATTCCTAGTGTCTCTTGTGTATTACCTTCAGGAGGAAACACTTTCTTCAATATTCTGTTCCTCACTGGGTGTTATGAAGTGTTTGGTTTTGTTAACGCATAACACAAAATGCATCCACTGGAGATCTTGAAATGTTCCCCAGCAGGTAAGGGAGGACTACTGTAACTAGTAGGTTTCTACTTCTATAGATCCGCTGTTCGTACCTTGACCCATGGGACACTAACTGATATACCTCTCTAGGGTTTTTTTCCTCCTTTGCTGGAAAAGCTGCGAATTTTGGCTTCTGAGTCTTCCTAGCTCTACCATCCAGCTTTCTGCCTCAAATGTAATTGGTGCTCAAAAATGCTTATTGAGTCAAAACAGGATTAACAATTAGTACTATTAATTCATTCTCTATTTACTTACCCAAGAGAATTGTTTCAGTAACATTTCTCTTTAAAAGCACTTTTTTTGGGGTTATGATCCGTACAGCTGTTTATTCACGAAATTTATTTGAACCAAGTAATTTCACTAATCCAATCATTGATTCCAATGATTCCTTCTTAGCTAAGGTAACTGTAAGACAGAATCCTGACTTGCTTATAAGCTTGCTTTTGTCTCTTTTTTAAACTCATTGAGATTTTTAAAATTGAGTTTTATTTACGTTTCACAAATCGTTCTTTTTAATAAATTTTGACTGAAAAACACCAAACATTTACTTTCTGAATGTCCTGTTTGACACTTCATTCTTCACATCCATTTTAATAAAATGTAGGACTATATTTATTTTCATTTTAAGAAGTCTTCTGGTGACTTCTTCTGGAGAATTATGTATAAATATGACATTTTGACAAAAAATAAACTAGTCTGATCTCTTATTTCGTGGATTAAGTAAGAGTAAGTGATTTGTCCATAGTCATCTGGCCTTTCCCATTGCTTGTGCTAAGAATAATACCTATTATTATTCTAAACATCACAGTAATACAGAGATGTATGATTCTAAATAAATTTGCTAGTTTGTTTTCCTCCTTCCCCCCTTCCCCTCTTCTTGTTTACAAGAACATGCATTACATTTTGGCTAAAAAACAAACAACCCCAAAACAAAGAATCCAAAAAGCTAAAAGAGAAAGTCTTAGGACTCTCAACCCTATGTTATCTCACCTTATATTAACAACTCTAAAATATATAAACACATCCTATGACCCCCTTGATCTGAAGACAGAAGCTGAGGCCACAGAAGAGGTGGAAGTGATCACTCTTGGTTTCAAGGCTACTGAGCGAAAAGTCTGCCGCTAAAACTAACATTCTTACCTTTGAGATAGCTACTCTTTCCCTGTTTCCCTCCTCCATGTGAGAATTATACTTTATCTATGAGAAATTGTTAGGCATTTGTATAATGGTGAACTATACCCAAAGGTTGCTAGCTAAGTCACATTCTGTCTGGGGGACCTGGAGTTCTTATCCAGGTAGAACAGAGCAAATTTATATAATAATATACTTTGTTGCTATCAATCTCCTCTAAATTCTTAGAGTTCTAATATTTGCTTGTTTATACTAAGGCCGTATGTGAAAATGGAAAACATTTCACTCAGAGGCAAGCATACACGTTTAAGGGATGGCGTTCTGTCTCCCCACGTGACACAAAAGGCCCGCTGCTCTTCTGTTAAAGAAAACAGCTTCTTTTCGTCTCTTCCCACCTCTGCTGTTTACATTTCTGGAAAAGTTTTTGCTTCTGGTGGGGCAGCGCAGGGTTTTATTAAAGCAAAAATTGTTACATCAGTGATGAAATGACATAATCACAACAGACTAAACAATGAAGATGACCTTCAGGATTCAGTATTTGACTACGGTAAGTGGGTAACAACCCCGTTGGTATTTTACAATGTTAGCATATGACTAAGTTTTGAGAGTATTATGGAAACTTACAAGAAAAACATTTTTCTGGCCTTAGTTTCTTTACTACTGGAGTCTCTATGCATAGCAGTGAGGAAGGCAAAGTTGCAAGAGCTAATCTCTGCTCTTAATTATAAGCTGTGAGAGTCTGACCATGTCACGAAACTTCCATGAACCTTAATTTTCTTTTTTTTTTTTTCTCAAATAAGAATAATAATAACCCAATTTTTCCTCTGAAGCTGTGGGAAAGTTCAAAGTGAGATAACGTCTCTGAACCATGATCTATAAATTTTAACACTGAGTAAGTGCCATTAATATTTACATTTGTTAAATGGGTATAAATTAATCACTTTTCGTAATAGTTGAGAGAAAATTGTGTGTGGGGGGAATGAAACACACTAAGAGTGAGGAGGTGTAGTAGGAGTGGTAATACTAAATTATCATTATCCATGATATTATCAATAACATTAAATCATCTGTGACAATATATTGACAATAATTAATAGGTATTGGGCATGATTGCTCTTCCCAGCAACTCCTGAGGTATTACTATTATTATGTGCTTTTTTATACACATTGAACAAAAGATCAAAGAATTAAGTTATTTGAGATTCAAACCTCGCATGTCTGACTCCAGATTCTGCTACAAATATTTATTGTTTGTCTGAGGAGCAATCTTACTTGGCAGCAAATGTGTGCCCCAAATCTTTATTCCTATAACCTGCCATGACTAAGCCTTTTGCCCCAAGTCCAAGTTGGGTCCTTGGTTTAGACAACGAAGGACCATCATGTCCAGGCTAAAATTGTGACTTTGGGCAGGAGCTGTTCACAATAAGATACAGAATAGTAAGGAAGTTTCCTGATTATGTAAATACATGATATTTAAGATTTAAAACATTTTCCTAAAAGCAATCATCATAAAAATATGTCACCATGTGAATTAATACATAAGCCCTCACCAAAGTATTCACATTACATAGCAGTTGTACAAAGAAGTTCAATGATATTTTTATGAAGTTATAGAGAGAATGCTAATTAAAATGATTTAAAAAACAGATTCTAGTTGTGTTATGGACACTGGGGAAGGTATGTGTTATGGTGAGTGCTATGAAGTGTGTAAATCTGGCGATTCACAGACCTGTACCCCTGGGGCTAATAATACATTATATGTTAATAAAAATTTTTTTAAAAAAGATTCTGATATGTATTTAGATACACAATAGAAGTTAAATCTAAAAAATGGGATTTTCTCCACGCTCTGCCCAAGCCAGGCAGCAAGCCTGATATATAATGATCTCTTCATAGGTACATCCACAGTTTAATAAGCTAATCATAAATTTATCCACACATGAGTTCTAACCTAAGTGTCAGATTTTTTTGCATGTTATTTTATTTAAATATCACAATAACCTGAAAAGAATTATTATCTCTTCCAGTTTTATAGATGACAATGATTAGAGAGCTGGCAAGTACTGAGGCTATGGTTCAAATTTAGGTATCTGACTCCACTATGCTCCCCGTGACATGAAACTTGAATAAAAAAGAAGTTTTCTAGAAGAGTAAGAAAAGTCAGGAAAAAACAAAAACAAAAACCCAACAACAGGGAGTCCATGACTGATAACTAGAATCCAGAGAGAAGATACGTAATTATATAACAAAATTTCAGAACAAGAAATCAAAAGGAAGTCACATGAAGTTGACTTTATAATTGTTTATATTTATTTAACTTTCGTTTTTCAAATGTAATCTTGGTGTATATTACTTTTTATAGATTTCTAATTTCTGCTGCTATTTGAACACATTACCAAAAATGGCAGGGTGTGCTGAGCGTTCTTGGTCCACGTCTTCCACACTGAGCTCTGAGACGCAGCCTAGCTCGAGCAAACACAGGGGATAAAATCATCAGCCTCACCAAGGTTGACTGAACGTCCCTCACCGGGTAGAGCAATAACGCCCCTGGTAGCTTTTTAAATGGTTCATATAAGGGTTAAACACGCAGTCTGTTCTGAGATAATGAAAAGTTTACTTCAATAATATTATGTCAAAATATGCAGCTTTCAGTACAAAATACTGCTATTACAGAAAACATGAAAACTATAAAGATGGTACAATATAGTGTTTTAGAGAAACGTCAGACTCTTGTTAGGAGTGAGACTACCTACTACTGAGGAGTTAGC